AATTTCAAAAATCGCAAAAATGACTGAAAATTGCAAAAATCGCGAAAATGACTGAAAATTGCAAGAATCGCAAAAATTCCTGAAAATAGCAAAAATCGCAAAAATGACTGAAAATTGCAAAAATTGCAAAAATTACTAAAAATTGCAAAAATCGCAAAAATTCCTGAAAATAGCAAAAATTCCTGAAGATTGCAAAAATCGCAAAAATGACTAAGAATTGCAAAAAATCGCAAAAATTCCTGAAAATTTCAAAAATCGCAAAAATGACTGAAAATTACAAAAATCGCAAAAATGACTGAAAATTGCAAAAATCGCAAAAATGACTGAAAATTGCAAAAATCGCAAAAATGACTGAAAATTGCAGAAATAGCAAAAATTCCTGAAAATTGCAAAAAATCACAAAAATGACTGAAAATTGCAAAAATCGCAAAAAATGCCTGAAAATCGCAAAAAATTCCTGAAAATTGCAAAAATCGCAAAAATTCCTGAAAATTGCAAAATCGCAAAAATTCCTGAGAATTGCAAAAGTTCCTGAAAATAGCAAAAATTCCTAAAGATTGCAAAATTCGCAAAAATTCCTGAAAATTGCAAAAATCGCAAAAATGACTGAAAATTGCAAAAATCGCAAAAATGACTGAAAATTGCAAAAATCGCAAAAATGACTGAAAATTGCAAAAATTGCAAAAATTCCTGAAAATTGCAAAAATTCCTGAAAATTGCAGAAATAGCAAAAATTCCTGAAAATTGCAAAAATCGCAAAAATGACTGAAAATTGCAAAAAATCGCAAAAATGCCTGAAAATCGCAAAAATTCCTGAAAATTGCAAAAATCGCAAAAATTCCTGAAAATTGCAAAAAATCGCAAAAATTCCTGAGAATTGCAAAAATTCCTGAAAATATAGCAAAAATCGCAAAAAATGACTGAAAAATTTGCAATTTTTGCAATTTTCAGAATATTCGCAGGAAATGATAATGGGCAATTTGATGATTATGGTTGAAACTTCAGATGAGTCTTGTCAATAAAATTAGGGGTTAGAATTTTGGTGTTCTGATATCCACAGACGAAAAACTGGGAGTAAAAAGTGAATCGCACCTAGAGTTACTGGATGGTATTAGTTTGATTAGTCTCGTCAAAATAAACTACTTTTTTCCTATGAAATGTTTATCGAAAAATGGATTGTTATCTGTATTTCAACACCCTGTATCTCCAAAATGAAGCATTTTCCGGACAGAAGTTTATATAGACTTTATTTCTTAAAATTGTATCAGGAATACTCCACTTGAACGTACTTATGTTACTTCCGGTATATTGAGAATACCTACCTTTAATTTATTATTGATAACTTCATGCTTTATACTCATCACTGGAGTACAGTTTCACATACAATCAGGAATTATAGCTGTAAGTTTATCCATATGTGTATATTTTCTGATATTAGAATGTTGTTACATGCATTCTTTTCATTTATATAACAGTTGTTCTGCTAGAAGTGTATCACTATAAATTGAAGGGGATGTTTATCCATTGTCCATCTACAACTATGATTGATTTGACAGAAAATATAACCTCTAAAATCGTATCTGACAATCAGGCGCTACTAGGGAAATTGAAAAGACAAAGAGCAGAATATATGTCTTATTTTTTTATTCACTTAAACCATTGTATTATAGGAAATAGAAAAGGACAAAAGTTCAGCTGTGTCCGAACTCTTATCAAACTAATACCATCCAGTGACCCTAATCGCACCTATCTTTCTTTTCAGAACGTTGGATAGTGCACCCTACACGTACGTAGCTTCTACAAGTTTACTACTCACTCGTCTACTCTCATATATCATATCACATTGTCTTATGGGGAAATTCACCCAATGCATCCCGAGTCTTCATCATGCAAAAGAGAATAATCAGACTGATCTTTAATTTGGACTTTCAACAAACATGTAGAGAACACTTTAGAAACCACAAAATCCTAACATTTCCGTCAATATATATCTATAAATGTATTTTGTATGCTAAGAATCATCTCACTGAATTTTCTAAAAACCAAGATTTCCATAACTATTCAACAAGACATGAAAAACAATTTTGTGTCCCTAAACATTCAACCACTCTATATGAGCACTGTCCACAGTAATAATGGAATGAAATTCTTCAACCATCTCCCACTATCCATAAAAACCTTGAATGACCAAAATATTTTTAAAAGAGCTCTCAAGAATTATTTAATTGAGAAGTGCGTGTATACAATTTCTACTGATAATATGTGTTGAGTCAATGCTTTGCATACTGCGCCATATTGAATTTAATTTTCAACTCTATGTATTTTTGTATTTTTGTAGATACCTGTATTCCTGACATGTCTTATATCATTGTGTGTGATCTTAAAAGATGAATAAATTTTATTATCATTATTATTACACCTGATCATTTGACGAATAAACGGTGAACACTGTGTAGACACTTTTCCATTTCCGAACTCAGCCCAGATATAGGTACTAAGTTCTGCTTTTCTAGAGAAAATACAGGCTCAATTTTTTTTGGTGGCGTTGAATTCGACTAGGATGTTGGTTCCCCAGGCTGTAATTTTAGCAAGATCTTTATTGACAAAGTTGACCTGCCTGCGTCGTGAGTTCTTAGTTTACTGAGAAGAAATGGAAATTGCAGTAACAGCAATGATAATGTGGAATAAATATCGCACATGATACCATTGAACAATCATTGAAGTGGTACACATATCGTATCGACCGCCATAGATGAAATTGTTTTGATTGGTCAAAAAATGTGTCCCTATCGAAAGTCATGGCTACTTGAATTCTTGGTCTAATTCACACATGACAGTGGCAGCTGACGTATGATTTGTGTTGTGACTTCTTTTGTTTCATGCTTCCACAGCATGAGATGAATAATTAGATTTGTAGTTTAAACATCGGTATCTGTGTGTATATTGCACACTATCGACTGTTTTTTTCTACCTAGGTAAAATTTCTTTATCAATTCATCATTATTTACCCAAGGTTTGAAAAGTGTTGATTCTCATTAGAGGAAATTCTTGATTAATGGTGAATTCTCAGGATAGTGGTGAAAAAAAGAATTTAAATACTATCTGTAGGTTAATCAAACAGGTGGATGTTCTCTAAATTGTTTGGAATTTTCTCTCATTGTTTCATTTTATGAAAATATCTCAATGAGGTTGACGGTTACGACAACTACTGGTTGAGAAGTGATAATTATTTTCATGGAGTAACGGATACTGACTGATTTTTTGAATTTAGCGAATAATTCAGTGATTCCCTAATTCATTGACATTTTCGCTTCTCATCCGAATCAACCACTATCGCTCATAAGTTCAAAAAAAGTTACTCATCAGTCTAATTATTGTAAATAATTTGATATGAGTTATTTCGTTTATACTGTCAAATTGGTGTGGGCGCCAATTTTTATCTTTCGAAAAAATTTTTAATTTGCTTCTTTATCAGATATATTTCACGTATTATATCCACTGATATACTGAATGTAATTCAAAAAATTTTTAAATATTATATATTTTCCTAATTTCAATTACTATGGTCTATGGTACGATACTGATGTCTATCGTCATGTGGTGTCAGGAAGGTTCAAAGTCTAAATGAAATCCATGCCGAGATCCATGCATGAAATCACAGCCATTTACGGAAGATCAAAATGCAAACTCGTCTTTTTCATGATAAATCAGGTAGGATTCTGGAATTCGCTGGAATCAGGGATATTATTCCGAACCTCAGTGATTACGGAATATACAGGGTATATATATTCATGAGGAAGAGGAAATTGGACTTCTCAAAAATAATATTGATAATGACATTTTGAATCCGTAAGTTGATGTCATTATTCGGAATTGTCCAAGATTCCATGGCTGCTAACGAGCAGTGTATTTCAGTGTTTCTTAGGTGGTCCTATCGCACCTGCCACTTTCAGTGAGACACACTGTATGGTATAGTGCTTCTTCAATTCCTTTACATTCTTCAAACAATTTTAATCCATTGTAGTAACAGGCGAGAGCAGAAAATAGTTTCGATCAAAAACCAATGATATTTGGAGTTATGGTGTATTGGTTCCAATTAGCTCCACAGTGTTGTAGGAAAACCAGTGGATCTTTATGTGAGAAAAAAATTTAGAAGAAAGGAATTGGCCTCTTCAAAATGGCTTTCTATTGATATCTTCATAGATAGAGAACTCTTCTATACGCCAATAAAGATTTGAAGATCACATGCGAGCACTTTAATAGCCATCCAGTCGAAAGAATTCTGGTGTGAGATTTCAATCGTTATCATCCGCCATTTTGTTTTGGATGAATATTTTTTGTCTGAGATTCTGAGGTTGTATAGAGAATCGAAAGACCTTTTCAATCGAGGTATCTTTCGACCCCCCACTTTATTTAAAAAAATCTTCCAAAATGGCGCCCAGGCGCCATTTTGGAGAATACATATTTTTTTTTGGAACAATATATAGCACTGGAACTACCATTGAAGCAAAAAAAAAATTGAAAAAAAAAATTCCATCCGTTCAATAGTTAACCAGGGGGGGGGTGACTTTATGGACACAGTGTATAATCTACTATTATTCTACATAAAACATGGAATGAAAAATAAGAATATTAATTGAATTGACATCACATAGGTATTCTGTTTACAACCAAAATTAAAATAAAAAATTGCACGTGATGATAATCATGATCTTGTTCGAACAAAAATGGCATTCTTATAGAGCCTTGAGCAAATTTATCAATATCTTCGTTGATAAAATCAACTCTTTATATGTATATCTATAAGATGTCGATGAATACTAATTAAGCAAAGTCTCAGAAAGTCACTATTGTAAACGCTAATCAGAATAGGAATTGAATAATGCTAATGTATCTTGTTCAGAAAGTATCTGATGAGTAAAGACCAGGCGCTAGGGGAGGGCGAGCGCCTCCCCTTGCCTCCCCCTCCAGACGCCCCTGCTTCATAATAAATATAACTTTGAATTCACTGTACTTTATTAATACTCATCAGTCATACAAAGATCTGTCAGAATTCTCTCCAATTTCACGTCACAATCTTGGTAGCCACACACACACCAATCTTCTTCAATATCTCCTCGCCCTCATTTTCAAGAGCGCTAGTCTTGTCAGAGGCGCATTTCTCGATGTTGGGCACCAATTGGGTGATAAGAGCAGCGGTGGCAACAGCGTCCGCCTCAATTTTTGCGGGCAGCGTCGTGATGTCCTTCTCAATTTTGGCAGCCAGCTTGGCCAGACATTTGACAGCCTTCAGTCCGTGTCCGCAGTCTTTCACTTCCTGTTTAATGTTCTCGATATCGTCCACGACTGTTTTGATCTGAAATCGAAACAGAGGATCTTTGAACCAGTTTTATTTCGAAGTACCAACTCTGACTAGTTCTCTATCGCAAAACGTTTTCGGAACATGAAAAACGCAGGAAAACGCGTGATGTAATTATCCAAAAAAATTCGACATACTATGTCTGTGAGACAAGTGCAATAATATCTCTGATTGTCATTTCAATCAGAATATGAAAACAGTTCGCCTCCACAGAAGGTGCTCGCCTTCTACTCTAGTAAATTTTCTGGACTAAATACTCACTGCTGATAACAGAGAACACAACACACAAATGAAGAATCAGATAATGAGAGGAGTATCTTTGAATATTCGCATCTTGACTGGATGGAACAACGATTTGAAGATGAAGGTGACTGACGCTATTGACGTTAGGAAGTTAAGTTGACAATGTAGTTCGTCTGCTTCTTCTCTTCTTGTATATCTGGGAACTCTATAGGCATTCCGCTGTTGCCAGGGCCAGGAAATGATGTTTGTTCAAATGAAATCTTGATTATTATCAGGAATACTAGGATATTCTTATTGGTACTGGAGCATTTTGCAAGTATATAAGAAATTAATAAGTGTTTATTAGGAACCAGGTAAAACTATTGTCTTTTGTGTATGTGAATACTGTTGTCATCGATCATATTGAATCTCATAAGGTCAGATTATTACTAGCAGCGTCAAAATATGTAATCCTACTTTCCATAAGAAAGCCAGAGTTCAGATAACGATGACTTTCGGTTCGGTTCATGACGTCATCGAGGGGTGAGCGATAGTGTTTTTGAATTATCGATTATCCAAAATCACAATGTATCGATATTATCGGTTGATAGATATAATCGATATTATAAAAATTGTCGATGTTATCGATATTGTCGATAAATCGATAGTACCAGAAAAGGAACATTGTGCGTGCTACGAGTAGATAGCAAGATAAGAAGAGGTAGGTGGCGCTTCTTCTGGAGGAATGTTCACACTGACACAAAAAATGTACGATGCCTTATCCAAAATGATGGTAATATTTCATTGTACGAAGAATAATCGGAATTTGATGAAGTAGACATCTCCCCACATCGTTGAGTGGGCGATTACAATTGACAATCAACAGATATTTCGAAAATCATCGAAAATTTTATCGATAATAATCGAGATTATCGATAATATCTATAATATTGATATTATCGATGTTATCTATTGTATCGATATTATCGATATTTTATATTTTTCCAAATCCTAGTTTCTGGAACTTGGAGACATTTCTCCAGAAACGAAACGAATCACAAATTCACCTTATTATTGTTCTCATTATTGGACCCAAAGAAGTGAAAAAAGGTAGGGAGTTTTTGTTGTAGGTGCATACATCCAGTTTTCAAATTTTCTATTCAGCTGAACTGATTTTTCATAATCAGAAAAAAAATCATGAGTGCAGGAAATTTCTTTCAAGACATTTAGGTCCCACATTTTTCTATTAGGACCTTCTACTAGTTCAACCAGCAACGAAACACATCAGTTGATTACGCGTATTTTTAGAGATTTGTTGATTCATAATTTATAAAATAATATGGAATTGAGTCGGTAATTAGTTTGAAGTTCATGTCTTGTATTCAAGAGAAGCAAGAAGAGAAATTTAATGTGATTTGTTGAATAGAATACATGAATTATATATAAATGATGAACACAATAACAAAAATGACCTTGAATTACGTCTCAAACTGGTTCAAATAGGCCCACCAGATGTCGTATCGGAATCGTTACCTTCCCAATATTGAATCAAAAGCCATGGGTTATTCCGAAAAAAAAAAAACTTAATAGTAAGTTTGTATCATAAAAATATAGCTAGAATCCCAGTAGTGCAACAAGAATTCAGTTCAAAATGGCTTGAGGAACATTAGCAAACTATACAGGGTGTAATTTAATTGAAGGCCGAAGATATAGGATATGGTTCCATAGTTCATTCTGAGAGAGAAAGTTTATATGAGCATATATAACATTCCCTGAACCTAAGGATTTTCGAGCTTTACTTTATTTCTTCTTCATTGATCGAATGAACTTTCACAATGTAATAAAAAACAGTCACGTTCATGAATACTTCTTAGAATGGGGCTGCAACGTAATCGATCAAATGTCATTATTTCAAATAAAAGATAGAGCACTATAGCATACTATTTCAGAATAATCTATACCTTTTCAACTTAAATTTCGGAGAAAGTAATCTCGATTTCAGAATTGGTTAGTTCGATTTCAGAAATGGTAAACTCAATTTCAGAATCGGTGAGATGAATTTCAGAAAAAGTCCATTCAATTTCAGAAATGGTAAGTTGTATTTCAGAATTGGTAGGTTCAATTTCAGAAACAAAAATCTTATATTTGTTCGAAATGTTTCCAATTGTATGTGAGATTAACAAACCATATTTACAATATTCAACTTGTCAAAAACAATTCAATAACATAATTATAATCTCAATTTAATCCACAGATCCAGAATCCACATCCGCATCGCTGGAAGATAATAGCGTTGCACATGATTATGAGAATGCAAACACATTTGAGGTGTTATCATTTTCATTGAATGATCTGCACATTCCTCAAGACATCGCAGTCTGAATTCTATCTGGTTGAGCAAGCTGTTCGGATCCCCAGCTATGACCCTTTGGCGATGCTCTTGCAAGAAGCTCTTCACTTATTACTTGAAGGCACCCCATAGATGTTCAATCTGATTCAACATAGGGCTCTCAAACACCGTTCATCCACTGTAAACAATCTTCTCTTTTGCAATTAAAAACATTTCAAACATATAAAAGGATCTCATCTTCTGAAATTGAACCTACCAATAATAATTCTGAAATACAACTTACCATTTCTGAAATTGAATGGACTTTTTCTGAAATTCATCTCACCGAATCTGAAATTGAGTTTACCATTTCTGAAATCGAACTAACCAATTCTGAAATCGAGATTACTTTTTCCGAAATATAACTTACCGATTCCGAAATTGAAGTTGAAAAGGTATAGTTATGCCACAAATGCATAAAAATGTTTATTATTTTTTAACGCGAAAACGGTTTGTCGAACGGAAAAAAATCGGAAAGTCAAATTGTTGCAAAATCCATGAGGATTCGAATTTTTTTTCGGAAAAATCGATAGGGCGTACAAAATATTTTGTAATCTATTCACTGAATCGGAAGTGAGCGTTTTCTCCGTCATTTGAAGACACAAACTTGTCAATTTACTTCCAAGGGAGAGAACAAATATTACCACCCGTGGGAGTTGAAATACATTGGCTTCAAGAGATAGAAGTATAAGATCTGTGCTACCTTATCAGTGTCTCCATCACTGGCATCATTAGTTTAAATTAAACAAATTCAATCGAAACTTTAAAATGCAATCACACAATAAACAAATTCAGTATGACAAAAGTGTCAAATTGATTTTCGTTAAGATTCATATACTGTCAATTGTCCATGGCATACTAGACTTTTGTAATACATTGCCTTGGATCTAGAGTCGAGAGATAGACTGCATGAAACACAATCTTAAGAACTACGCTCTGAAGTATATGCGGGAGATAATGAATACCTTTGTTCCCTTGATATATATTTCCCTACTATAGCCCCCATTGAACAAAATCATCGTACTGTCAGATTCACACTTCACTAGGACACTTTTTTTTCCAGTGCTGTGACTTATTCACGTCAACTTGCTCATCCACCGATATGAAACGATTTTTATAAAACGCCACATTAATGCGAGTACAAAAACAACTTCTTACCTGGTTGAGACCGTCTTGCGCATACTTGATTGCACTGGTGATCTGGTCTTCCACGCAATGAACCAAATCATCGGAATACACATTGGGCAAGCTGATCAGCCTTTGCTCGTCAGCTCCAAGGCACTCGTCAATATTGACCCCGGCATCCTTGGCCTTCTGCTTGAGTTTGTCGAGTTCTTCCGTCAGCTTCTGCTCCGTGGACTGCATCTGTTGGACTGCTGCATCTTCTACTTTTTGGGCTGTCTGGTTCACTTTGGTTGTGGCTTCGTCTAGGGCTGATTGGGCCTTGACCACAGCTTTGTCAACTGCTTCTCGCAACTTATGCAGCAGATCGTCTATTTCGTTGCCTAGGGACTTGGTCTCTGCTGAGTGACTGTTTGCCTGGGTACATTCAGCGATTGTTAAATATGATTGTTAAAATGTTAGGTATGGGTAGCAGAAACTGTGGTGGAGTAGATTCATATATAGTAATAATGCTCCAAGTCGTCTCCACAATGTTTGATATCATCAAATCATAAATCCATCATCAGCCGATTGAGGAAATTATTCTACGAAGAACAAAGCAACAATAATAGGGTATCAATGGTGAAACATAGACCAACGTTTTCATCGTGATATCGCTGGTTTAACCTGATAACATGTGACCAAATGTCAATGTCATACCCAACGCAGACAGAAAACTGTAACTTCAGCTGTCAAAAGTGATGCAAGACAAGAGACAATTAGTCCCATGAAAATCATGACAAACTGGTGGATCGTGACATTAAAATATAAAGATAAAGAAAAACTTACACTGGGGACCAAAGCAAGATGGAAAATAATACAAACATATGTAACTCAAGGCATTGGAGAGTTTCCATGAAATTTGATTTTCTGAAAATCTTATCGTTTGTGAAGTTTTTACATTTGCAATGGATTTCCATCAAGTAACGGCCGAGTCAATTTAAGAAGAGCATAATAACTTCCATTACAATTATAATCTGATTTGCACAGACTGCCTTCTGAACAATAATCTAACCCAACTCGGCCTAAATGAACCTCTTTTCTAGAATGGTGTACTGTATAACGAGCATGGAATCAAAGTCATCTGAAAATTAGCATTCAGTGCTAGTAATGTACTATTCTTTTTGTACGGCTGATAACAGATAACAGCGAACTTTTCCATTTCTTCGACTTGTTGCTATCTGATTTTCCCTCAAGTGATGCTCATCTATTTATTACTCGAAATTTGACATTTCATGGAAGATAAGATTTCGTGAAATAATAACATAATGAAGCCATTGTGATATCAGATACGGAAATAAAATTGGTGACATATTGATTTACCGAACACAGTAGAACAAGAACGATATTGTGTTATAGAAGTAAAAAATAGTAGATTGTTTTATTAGGATCAAAAGTGACACTTTGTTTGACAAGCGAATTTTGCATTTGCGAGGCGGAGCGTTTAGCGAAGCCGAGCGAAAGCAAAATTTGCGAGTCGAACAAAGTCACTTTTGATCCGAATGAAACATGCTATTTTTTCTGCAACCGAAACAATTAACTCAAATAAACATGTGAAGTAACCACCAATGCCGTGCCATATGTATGCAATGCAACAAATATTGACAAATAATCCATGTGGTGAGAATATTCTACCTGCATTAACAGCAGGTTAGGTTTTCTAGGATGTTCGAATTGTAGTTTCAATATAAATACAACCACAGAGTGACATATTTGTGTATGGACCAGGTGCTCTAATGGCAAATACCGTGCCAGTGCCAGCTATAGGAACAAGACGTGGAAAATGTTAGGTTAGTGAGCATATCAACAATGATAATAGTGATTATTTATTCCTCTCCATACTACACTGTGTTTGACTTGATAATCAAATGAAGCTAAACAATATCGTTGTTTGAGACAAAAAAACAATTGCTTGCCGTGATTATTCAAAAACAAGTTATCCATCCCGAGAATAACGAATGAAATACAGATCAAGCAAGTGATTGAATCTTGAAGGCTTCTCTGATCAAAACAAAAATACTCAACTGAGATGTTTGTAATTCCAATACTGGCAATACTTAACTATAATAAGGTGTATTAATATCTCTATCAGCATCGGCATGAAATGCCAAATATGCCGAAATCGGAAACAAATCAGGTATGCATCTCAACCCAAATAACCAACCGTAACAAGGTCGTTCATTCTTGATGACGTCCAGTACATCCTTTTTAGTTCCTAGGAGCTGAAGTTCAACTTTAGCTCCTAGGACCTAAAGTTCCACTTTAGCTCCTAGGAACTAAATATGTTGCCTAGCAACATACCTACTTTTGTGTCAGTAATAGAAACGTCAATTTAAGAGCTAATTTTGGTATCAAAATGGACGACTTTTGTGTCGGTTGCAGAAAAAAGTATATATTTTTACAAAAAATGTATATGCAGCAGACCAGCAGCATATGACGGTACATTCGAATTTGTTAATAAGTTTGCAGAAAACTCATTACGAAAATGGACTGAATATACTTTTTCATAAAATTTTTGCTCATGGCTGCCAATCCTCCCGTTGCACGCAATCACAACCTCCGTCTTGAGGGTAAATAGCAAGACCCTATAGCAGGTATTTGACCGCCGCGCGCAATAACAATAATATAGTGTGTATTTAGATTTATGATATACAGGGTGGTTCGTTTTTTAATACGGAAAATTCAACAGCGTATAGTACTCGTTGAAATATTAAATAAACTTCCTATGAACATATACTTTTAAACGCTTCGTTTTCGAGCTATGGGGTGTTCAAGTTTCTTTAAAAAATCGATTATTTATTGATTTCTCAGAAATGCTTTAACCGATTGTGATGAAATTCACATCTATTGTGGAAATATCAATGAGCTAACTTTTAGACCTATTACAGTTCATTAAATTACAAAAAGCGTGACATGATATCAATTTATAAATTACCTGTAACTGTTGAGCTGCTTTTCTAGAACTGCTTTATTGGTTAACATCAAAAAATCTAAGAATGTGATTGTTATCATTCCTTCTCAGTGGGCCATTATTTCGGTATTGTTCATTATTCCCGCGTAACCCAAACTTACGGAAACGTGAGTGAGTATTGATAAAGACTCGTGCATTAGGTACCCTTCTCCTGCTAGGGAAGCGATTTATGTATTCCCGAACTGCTGCCTCTGCGTTTCCATTACAAAATCCGTAAACGAAATGAATATCTGCATACTCTTCAGTAGTAAATCCCATAGGCATATCGACAAACGGCAAAATTGAAATAAAATTATTACACTTTTTGATAAAAACACGGAATAACTCCAGTTTGTTATTTCTTTGACAGAACTTTCACAGTGAGAGCACATATAAACAGTGAACAGTGAGCAACTGAGCATAGCCTACTTCTTTAATTGATATCAAGTAGTATTATTTAACTAAAAAATGTTATAAAATCTCACAAGCGAGCTTTCTTCATTGAAACTTGAAAAATAAATGAAAAATAATTACCCGAAAAATTTGTGTAATTATTACCTTCGCCACCTCAGATTCAGCCGCCACTGAATAGTTTTTATGAATAATGTTTATTTAATCTGATAAAGCTCAAAAAGTTTAGTATCTGTGAAAAATGTCGTTAATTTATCTACCGTTTCTAACTTTTGATTAAAAAAATATATTCAGAAGAGTATTTTTGACACCCAATAACTCAAAAACGAAGCGTTTAAAAGTATATGTTGATAGGAAGTTTTTTTATTATTTCAACGAGTACTATACGCTGTTGAATTTTCCGTATTAAAAAACGGACCACCCTGTATATAGAGATGGAAGCTATATTCTTTACGGTGCCCTAGAATGAAGAATTCTGATGAAGCCTATAAGGCGCTGATTCCTTGGATTCAAAGTACACTGATTAGTTCAATGGTGGTGGCAAAAATATTTCGTACCTATGAATTTGTTTATTCTTCACTTGTCCAATACATACTGCTTCATAATGTTTTTACGCCGTAGGGAGTAGAAGTTAGTTTCTCTGGTAACAAAAGAGGGGCAGAAGTCTCGTATTCCCTAGGGAGATAATGTGACATATTTTCTGAAGCGAGTAAGAATCACTGCAGAAGCAGTATCAATAGTTTCTTGGGGTTCTCCCTCGATTTCTTGTTCCATAACTGTTAACCATTTTCAAAGCTGTTTTCATAAATTTCAATTTGATATTTTGCTATTACTATGGGTTGTCAACAAGTTGCATGTTGTCAAGATACGAATTCCACAAACTATACTACTACTAATTATGACAAAACACTTTGACCACATTTTTATTCTTTCTTGATTTTTGTGTTTTCGCCAGCGTAAAAAATAGTATATACACCTCAGGACAGAATGCTATTTTTCCCTCGGTGCTTTGTATCTCTCGGACTTCGCCCTCGAGCTACAAATCGCACCTTGGAAAAAATCTTGCGTTTCTGTCCCTTGATGTATAATGTACTATTATGTTCGGTGATAATACCTTGGCAACGGTTGCTATTATCAGACCCATACCTCCCAGGGCGTTATAATAAAGGGCATTATGTATCATAACGTCCGCTAATTCGTATTCATTTCCATTAATTCTATACGACTACACAAAGAAAGCATCAATGACATTTCCTGAAGTGAATGATAACAGCAATATTCACCAAACGTCAAAATATCAATAATTGCCATGCCTATACCATGAAAAAAAAAATGAAAAGAAAATGCTAGCAGCAATGAACCGTTTTTTTGAATCGATTTTTCATCATGATAATTTTTTCGTGATAAATAAAATCTTATATGCGTTAAGATTTATATAACGCATTTGGTACATAAATAACTGTAACAGAAATGGCAGTATATGATTCATAGAAACTTACCTCCAAAATCAATGCGGAGATAACCAGAACGAACAATGTAGAAACTTTAAAAGCCATGGTACTTTCTTGTCACCTTCTTGGTAGTATAGGTATTTTGAATGCAACTGTTGTGAGTTATATTCGAATGTCATCATTTATATAGATCTCTGCTATTTACTTAGATATTATCATGAAATAATGTTTATTGATCACAAGTGTTTATTTCTTATAAAAGAATAGGATATTTCAGGTAAAATCAGGTCCTCTTGATACCTTATAATAATCAATATATTGTTGATAAGCAAATTTAGAGATTAGGAGATAATAGTACTTGAATAAAATAATAGACGGTATACGTCAATAAATTGAAGGAGATTGATAACACATCACCAAATAACGAAATCAAAAACAACAATACATTTTTCAATTGTTTCATTCATATGTAGACACATTCACATATTAGGACCAATGAAATTTCCGTATTCATTTAAACGAGATGGTGATCAAACGATAAAATTGATTAAACCACTACAAAGTTAAATACTGTCTGCAGGTTAATTGAAGAGGTGGAACATTCATTATTCCAAATTTTTTTGGGGTTTTCTCTCCTCATCTCCATAAAATAAGAATATGATTACTATTTCAATATACGTGTAGTTAGGACAAATCAGATGATTTTCCCCAAAATGTCACTGCTTTTAAATAATTTTCCTATCAGAGACCTCTTTCAGTAAGGACGAAGGAACATAAATACAATATAAAGAAAAGACACATCGTCAAATCGAAACTAGCTGAACATATTATTATCCTCACTGAAGGCATATGGCAGAGTGGAATAATATCAAAATCATTGGAAGAGAAGATAACAACCAGAAAAGAAAAATAAAGGAATCTGCCTGCATTCTCCCGAACGGAGACAATAGCATTGCTCCCTTGTTAGTTGATATAGTTGTTCACTTCTGAAATCTGAAAATGAAAATGATAAATTCAAGATTAATTAATGAAAACATCCTGTAACTCATTTGATTGCCGACGTCACCAATTGGCACTGAGAACTGAAAAGTGTCAGGAGAAATACGAATTTGCCATACAAAAAATCCATTTTTTATGTTGAAAACGGGAGCAGATTCGTTCCCGAAATGTCCAAAGATAAGTAAAAATTATCAGCCATCAGGAAAGCAGTTGTTTTCTGTTATATATTTCAACAATGATTTTCTCTGATCTGATTATCTAATATTTGTTCTGGAAATCTCGCAAAGGAGAGGAATTGTATCATCCTGTATTCGGGAGGAAATTGATAGTCCATCTGCAGAATTGCATTTTTATCACTTATGCGAATTAGTTTTGCGGTTCCACATCGAGTGGGATATACTTCATGTCTCCCAAGGAGAATTAGATCCTAGACGGAATTGAGGGGGCGGTAAATCGCGATTAAAACCCTAGGAACTGCATATAAATTATTCATAGAAACTACAAATTGAATTATTTCTATCTCGGATCGAACCCATTCGCTGTGGCCCTCCAGGGAATAACTGGTGCCCTTTCGTTCAGAATTCAATATCGGCATTGTTTTCCTCGATGTTATATGGAAAATAATCCATTACAGATTGCGCTCCAGGAAATCATGGAAGGCAATTAAAACCTTGCCTGTTCGATTTCCGTTCCCGATGGATTGACCTTGGGCGTGTTTCCTTTAATGATTAGTTATTGATATGTGCATTGTACAGGGTGGGCCAAATAGGTCACTTTTGAAGGGAAAGTGCTATTCTCCAACTACACCGAGAGAAAAAACTATTAGCTATTATACGAAACTGTAACCTTCAAGAGATTTCTGAATTGAACAGGCGCCAGCATAGTTCCCTGTTTCTGTCATCATGCTGGAAGACAGCTAGAGTCCAACCAATCCCCAAAAAAGGGAACAAGAACCTGCCCAACAACTACAGGCCCATTGCCCTGTTATCAGTAATCTCCAAAGTGATGGAGAAAGCCATCAATATTGAGCTTACCGAATATCTGGAGAGCTCAGGAATCATCAATGATAGACAATACGGTTTTCGCCACCGAAGATCTACTGGAGATCTACTTGCCTACGTCACCCATTTATGGCAAGCTTCATTAGAAAAACACGGGGAATCTCTAGCTTTCGCGTTGAACATATCGAAAGCATTCGACAGTGTTTGGCACGAAGGACTCCTCCACAAACTACCGTCAAGCCTGTATTTCCTCTAGAAAGGCGGAACTCAGTATGCCCGATATTGTAATGTCTGGCATCACCATCCCCACCAAGCCCACCATATCTATGCTCGGTATTTCCATCAGCAACACTCTTTCATGAGATAATCATGTCAGATCCATCGCAAAAGCTGCTTCACAAAAACTCGGATTCTTGTTCCGTGCGAAAAGTTACTTCACACCTCAACAGCTTCTCATGATCTACAAAGCGCAGATACGGCCTGTTCTAGAATACTGTTCCCACATATGGGATTCAGCACCTGAACATACGCTGATGCTCTTAGATTTCATCCAGAGAAGAGCCATTCGCCTGGTGGGTGACGCCACACTCACTCACTCTTTGACATCATTAGAACACCGTTAAAAAGTCGGCGACCTCCCACTTTTCTATCGATACTTTCACGGGAAATGTTCCTCACGAATCTCTGCTATATCATTCTATTACTAGCAATACCAGTCAGACAGACTCGACAAGCCCAGTCAGCACATCCACTTGCTATCAATCTTTAGATATGTCGAACAACACTTCACCATCACTCGTTTGTTAGTAGAACGGCACAGTTTTGAAATTCCTTGTCAATGGAAGTATTCCCAAGCACTTATAATCTCCAAGAGTACGAAAAAAAATCCAATAGTCACCTCCTATCCCTAGGTACGCACGATGTTCTTCGAACATTATACACAGAACATAAGAATTTCTTGATTCAATGCGGAACAGCATTGATTCAACCATTCTCGAATAGGTCCAAACAAAATATTTGTTTGATTTTTCTACAGAACTTTCTTGACATATTCATGAAAAAAATACCTATTGATTCGAATGGATATTTATTCATTATCACAGTACGTATTGGTCGAAGAAAGAATTGATTAGTTTGAAACAAGAAAATTCTTCTATTGTCAAGTTAATCTCCCAGCATAGGTATTTGAACAATTTTGTTCTTGAATCAATAAATTTGAAGCTTGTTCAAATGGATGATATCTCATTATATTCAGTAAATATTTTTTCAGAAGATTTCTTGGGCTCAGAGATTGTTATTTTGAAAGAAATCAAAATATAGTTCACAATTAATCTATTGAGTATTAAATAAAATTAATTCTTACAGTTGAGAAACAAGAGGTTATATTATCAAAATTTGGTCATCCTATTATAACATAACATAAATGGAAACATGTATAAAATAAATGAAAACATAAACATATAGGTCATAAAGAAGATCATCAAATACTATGTGACGCTTAATCTAGGAGGTGGAATGTTCGTATTTCTAGATTTTTGTGATTTGTCGTCCTCGTCTTCTTTCCCAGAATGTCACTGTGCTTGAAATGGCAATCATCAATTACGAAATGTTTTGTATGTTCCAGGGTGGCTTGTTAAATGTGAATCATTAATCATATACCTATAGAACTTGCGTCAGAAGAAACAACATTACCATTCATCACAGCCAGGCATTGTCAGAAATAAACGAAATTTCAAGACAACCAGATATTTCCTGGTTACAAGAAATTCTGCGTTTGACGAAAGGGCAGGTATAAAAGCTGTTATAGGTATGTGAAAACACTAAGGAAGGAGATATATTATGATTGGTTCAATCAATCTTATCGACAATTATCTACGACCTACGTATATATCTATTAGTGCGTTCATCAAATGGATGCGACTGGTCAAAAAGTCACTTCTGAACGAATGTGTGTTGTGCAGGTTATACAAACATATGCGTTGACAGTGATGTGTAATTATGGTTTCAGGTATGATTGATATCAAGGTTCTCAGCATGTTTCCTCTTTGATTGTGTTAATCATGGAATACTGCTTCGGAAGCTTCATTACTATGGGTTTAGTGATTCAAGCTTGCAATGGATGAACTCATACTTGAATAATAGAAAACAACTGGTACGTATCAATAATGTCACCTCGGATACCTCAAATATTCATCATGGAGTACCTCAAGGTTCGGTTCTTGGGCCGTTGCTGTTCTTGCTATATATCAATGATATGACTAAATTGAATATATCCGGGAAAATAACTCTCTTCGCTGATGACACTACCATATTATGGAGTGATAGATCTGTGGAGACCCTACAGATTAAAATAACCAAAGACGTCGAAATTATCCATCAATGGAGCAAATCGAACCTACTTTCTTTCAATATTCAGAAAACGAACCTGATAACATTCCGATGTGAGTTGCCTCTTTTATCTCTGGATCATCAAATTATAGAAAATAAATTGAACGCAAAGTTTCTCGGTCTTTTTGTGGACAAAAAACTGAAATTTGATCTGCATGTTTCACACTTATGCAATAAACTTGCATCAGGATGCTATGCTATCAGATTGATATCAAACGAGTTGGGTTATTCTGCTGCTATGACGGCATATTACGCTCTAATAGAATCCCATTTGAGGTACGGAATTGCATTTTGGGGAACTTGTAACAACCATAATTTACAGTCTACATTCATCTTACAAAAAAGGGCATTAAGATATGTATGCAAAGTTAGTTCAAGAACCTCTTGTAAAGAATTATTCAGAGAGCACAGAGTGTCAACAGTAGTATCCTTGTTTATTATAGAGTCGGTGTGTTTGATTCACAAAACCAGAGACAATTACGAAGTCGTGAACTCATGTTACAACACACGCCAGTCAGAGATGGTGAAGCTTCCCCGGCCCTGCAGTTCACTAATAAAAGATTCCATATTATATAATGGCCTGAAAATGTACAATCACCTCCCAACTATTGTTAAATCTATCTCGGATATAAAAAAATTCAGGAAGGAATTGAAAAACTTGTTAGTCCCTTATGTGTTTTATAATGTTAATGATTTTTATGAACAAGTATTTTAGACGAAGCCTTATGTGTGCACATGTTTGTGAAAAATTGTATTTATGTTGATAATTGTTGTATACATTATTTTATTATTTTATTTTTATAACCTATTCAGCTTTGTCTACAAGGATTACATTCTTAAGTGACAATAAAGCATATTTTG